GCTTTTCCTGCTTAGAAAGTCGTCTTATATGAAGGAAAATACGGTAATCATTTTGCTAGACCATCTTCAAAGTTTATCTCAGTTTATCTACCAGAGCTGGCAAAGGCCATTCTAAAATGTTTATTTTTGCTTAATATCTACTCTGTTATTTAGTTGTGTTGTTGTTGGGTTCTTTCAAATAGTTTCCAATTATGGCAACCCTAAGGGAAACCTATTACAGGGTTTTCTTGGCAAAATTGCCTTCTTCTTAGGCTGTGAGAATGTGGGTTTCCATGACTGACCAGGGATTCAAATGTTGGTCTTCTGGCTAGTCCAACACTTAAACCATTGTACCATACTGGCTCCTTGAGCAGACCTATGGTAAACCTAGTAAAAACAAAATGCACTAAAACGATTATATCATGCCTGGGATGATGATGATAAATGGTTTTAAAACATCTTAATCATAACAGCTACATTAGAAATTAATTTGAGCAATGAAGCTATATCGCAAAGTCATGTGAGAAGACATTTAAAAGTGGGTCTGAGTTTAGGAATGAAATGAACAGAAGCAATAGAACTAGAAATCAAGCACTCTTTTATTGGTCAAGAGGTTCAAAGTGCCTGTAACAATGGGAGCTTGCTTATTGGAGCGATATCAAGGTGACCCATCTAATCTCAAGAAAGACTTGGCAGAAGATTTTGAACACTCTTTGTTTTTGCTATCACCAGGGACTTTCACCTAATCCATTCCAAAGTACACCAAATGAGCACTGTCTCCATTGTTCAGAGTCTAAAATGAGAGAAGCTGAAATTGCTTTTAGATATCAGTTCTGATGGGAAATTCTGACGGTTTTAGTTTTTCTTACCTTTTTTAGAACCACAAGTTTTTTCTGTCCCTGACAATAAAGAAATTAAATATTTTATTTCTTTTAAAAAATGGACTGAAATGAAATTGTCTCTAATCTACACTGGTGATATTCAAGAGGTACAGCTATTCTCATAATGTATAGGGGGCTGTGTTGTGTGCTTGTCCAGGTGTAGATGTCAAAGACAAAGGGGGGGAGAGGTGGCAACCCTAATTTCACCTAACATGGTTGGATATGAGGTGGGGTGTGGGGGGCAAAGCCTGATTTTTGAGACAAAGCACTCAAATTCTGGATGTACAAATTTGAAAGTTGGGCTTCCCCCTCCTTTAACAAAAACCTGAAGTTCTTTCCTGAAGAGCAAACAAAATTTTTATCCATTCCTAATTCTAGAGAGAACTGGATAAGCCTGGAGAATTCAATTCCTTCATTCTTAGTATCAAATCTTGAGGCTCCCAGGACACCAACCCTTTTGGGTTCTGTCAAGATTGTCAGGAACGCACAGCCTCTGTGCCAATGTGTGGCTATGGGCTGTTGAAAGAAAGAGACTCTTATCTTCTCAGAAGCATTCATTTACACATTTCAGAACTGGGGTCTCATACTGAAAACAGTTTCCAGGATTAGGATTGATATGTATCAGCCCTTGTTATTCTCAATGGTATTCATTCCTTCCTTTCCAGGTTTTCAGCACTTACTCCAATGAGGAATATGACCGGCGGAATGAAGACGTTGATCCCATGGCTGCTTCAGCAGAATATGAACTTGAGAAGCGAGTGGAGAGGTTAGATCTCTTTCCCGTGGAACTAGAGAAAGGTAATGGAATCAGCAAATAAATGTATGAGGAGGGGTGGTGAGTGTGACTAGAAATATCTTTTTCTGGACAAAAAACGGTGTGAATCATACAACAATTTGGAGTATGATTGAAAAACAAGAAATTCCTCACTGTACTTTTTAAAGGGTTATCTAGGGAGGCTATAGATTCACCTTCCTCAAGAGGTTTTCCAAATGTCCAGTCATTTGGCTTACTCCATGAAAACAATATACATTAGATTTTAAAGAAGTTCAAGGGATAGGCAGCCTTTTTTGGATTGGAAAGTCACATTTGTCCTTGTGGAATTCTTTGGGGGCCGTGTGAATAAGCAGGATTGATGAAGGCTTAGAACCAAGACAAATGCATGCACCACACTCAGTTGCATACAAATGGATCATTCTCATGTGCACACTGCCCTAAGACAAAACTTACCTATTCACCCATTTTGTGTGCTTCGACTTTTAACTTCAGCCTCCTCTCCAGTAATCCTAAAGTAGGCAATGGAAAAGAGTGGATGGGGCACTGGAGGAAGAAGAGGTCTGCAGGCTATTCAGACAGCAAGCAAGAATCACCTGCATGTTATGGTTTGTCCAGTTATGCTATAATACTTGCTGTCACATTAAGCATTTCAGCAGGATTTCTTGAGCAGGTGTACGTATACTCCTTTACTGTTCACAGTCAGTTCAAGAACTAGAGTATCTAGTCCTTGCTTTCCCCACTGAAGTGGGAAAAGAACTTGATTACATGTAACACTCACTACCTTTAGCCACCTTTCTCCATCCTGTTGCTTCTTTTTCCTTATCCTCCTTCTCAGTTGTTTTTCTAGAAGAGAGTCAGCTGGAGCAACAAGGAAAATAAGCCACCATAAGGAAATGAACAACAGATGGGGAAAGGCAGCCAGTGACTTCTTCATCACAATGATCTTCTATCAATCCCACTGCAAGGATTCCCTATGACCTGAAGTGCTTGATGTACTGGGGCATTCCTTCTATTTCCCGATTGGCTCCTCTACTTCTTATTTAATTATGATGTTTAGAGCTTTTTACTTGTGACCAAATCCATGAATTATATCTGAAGCAGAGAGATGTCACTATTTTTCATTGGAAGCAGAGAAATTTCTACCCCAGTCTTTTCCTAATAGTTCACATATGAATCTGCTATAAGCTTCATTCTCAAACACCTATCCACTCCTCTTCCCTTTTTCAGATGCAAGCAGTCCTTTACTGATATACATCCCCTTCCCACACAGACATACTCCAGTAATTTCCCTGCCATCTGTCCTCTATGGTTAAATGGTTGTTGTTGTTTTTAAAAGTCTTCACCTGCTTTGAACCACTCTCTTTCTGCCCCCTGGGGCTGAAAGCTGGGAATACATCTTTCCTTCCAAAAAGCCAATAAAGATTCCCATGGATGGAATGAGGATATCTGCAGTATTGGATTTCATGTAAAATGTATTGTCAGATCCTGATTAGTTCCAGCTTCAGCACCTCATATTTTAACACAAATAACTTCTTCCTTTCTCTCTCTTTTTCAGATTCTGAAGGTCTTGGAATCAGCATTATTGGGATGGGAGCTGGGGCTGATATGGGATTAGAAAAACTTGGCATCTTTGTCAAGACAGTGACAGAAGGAGGAGCTGCCCACCGAGATGGCAGGTCAGTCTGGTTTGCACAAAACTCTTACCATTGAGACTTGTTTTGTTGCTTATGTTCAACTTTCTCACACAGAAAGGTGTGCTGAAAACCTCAAATGTTGGAGACTTCAAGTGTGACAAGTTCTGTTTCCTCTTGTCATCACGACTCCATTACTGATGTACCACAGAAATTGTAATCTATGGAGTTGAGGTCTGGTAGCAAGCAACAACACAACATAATCCCCTCTAATTATTAATATGGGTTATTATCTATCCATATTCTGTCTATCTGTCTAGAACAGTGCTACTCAAACTTTTTACTTTTGGGACCCCCTTTACGTCTGCATACAGACATCCCGGAATAACCCTCCTCAGAAGATGAATATTGATCTCTCCTCCTCTGGCCTTTTGTTGTTCTGCTGTTTATATTTTTATTGTATTTTTATATTGTTATATAGTATTGTTTTAAAATATTTTCAAGTTTAATTCTGTTTTAAGGGGTGTGGGAGGGATGTGGGTGGAGGGATTGGGATATGGGATTGTTTTAATTATTGTATTTTAGCTGTTGTGAGCCGCCCCGATTGCGATGCAGAGGGGCGGGTTAAAAATAAAACTTATTATTATTATTATTATTATCACATTCCCCCATCACTTGACATAGTATTTGATATACAGATATTTTATTTAGTGTGCATATTTTAATTGGCATATTCATGTATATTCATATTTTTAACATTCTTATAACATTTTATAAGAAAATAACATTGTTCAAATTATAACAGTTTTATTTATGTAAATTTAATATTTAACTCAAAGCATGTGTAAGTTTTACACATAAAAAAGTTTTGGAAGTGGAGGCGGAGAAGGAAAAGATCAGGGCTTCCAAGTCTTGCGCTTGCCTTGAGCAACTCTCATGCCCTCCCTGGGGATCCCGCCTCACTGTTTGAGAACCACTAGTCTAGAAGGAAAAACAGGGCAACCCAAAATGAAGTATTTTCTGCAAACGTAGTGAGTGGGAGGGGACTTGTAGATATTCCAAAGCTTTTAAAC